TAGGCGACGTGTGCACCACGTTATTTTCATTTTTGCGATAAATGCTTATCGACGTGGTGTTCACGTCGCTCGCGGTTTGAGACAAAAGCATCTCGACGTGCGCGGCACGTCTTTTTAGCGCAAGTGGTTAAAAAATTTTAAACGATATTCATTTTATGAACTCTTGATAACGTGACCTTCGAACTTCGACACCGGTTTCGAGCTTTGGCGACAGATATATCAGATATGCACAGCTGTTTCCCTCTATGATGGAACGGAGCCACAGCCACGTCTGTTGCAGAGAGGTTTTCCTTCTTTACAATACATATTCTTTGATTCTAACCTCCATGGTACCGTATACTAGGATTAAACCCATTTTGTTTTATACGAGACAGGTACTTTCTTTAATTCATGCACTGCACATGCGATTCTCGAGAATACTGAAAACCAAACTTGCGGGAAAGTTGCTTTGCCTTTCTAAAGACAATCAAATTGGAGCTGCGAAAATTGGCTCTATGCCAGCTACCCGAATGACACTCACGTGATACATAATTCGCCAAAAAAGTTATCTCTTCTCTTCCGACGTCGGCGCAAAAATCGCTTTTTTTGGCTGGATCGTTGTATGAACTTCCCTGACTTTTCCAGATTTTGACAAAAATACTTAAATTCCCTGACTTTTCCCTGAATATTTTGGTCAATTTTCGAATTCCCTGACTTTTCCCGGTTCTCCCGGTTTTCCAGGTAGCGTGGCAACCCTGATTAATGAACAATTGAAGAAGAGCTTTTATGTAAATAATTGTTTAGCAAGTGTGAAAACTGATTTAGAATTGCAACAATTCATACAAGTTGCTTCAGATACTTTAGCTACAAGAAAGCTAGAATTACGTGGTTGGGAATATAGTGACCCAACAGATAATTCCTCTAGTACCACAAATGCATTAGGAATGATTTGGGAACGGTGTGTGGAGATTACCTTTGCCTTAATATTACTACATCACCTACAATCTACCAGAAATTTTGTCTAAAAGAGAGATTTTAGCTAACTACACACAAAATATCGACTCTTTAGGAATAGCTTGCCCCGTAACTCTTGTGCCGAAACTTTTACTTCAGCACCTATGGGAAGTTAAGTTATCTTGGGACCAAGAAGTTGATTCAAATTCAAAATCACAAATTTGTAAATGGTGGAATGATTTGCAGTGTCTGGAAAGCATGAGAATACCAAAATGGTTAAACTGTGATCGTGAGATGAAAATATCTCACGTCATTTCTTCAGTGATGTGAGTAAATTTGCATATTCAGCTGTGGCCTTTGTTCGAATACAAACAAGAGATTCGGTTCAGGTTCATTTGGTGCAAGCTAAAGCGAGAGTTGCACCCAGCGGAAGGAAAAAGACAACAATAGCTCGACTGGAACTTCTTGGAGCTACAATATGTACACGTTTAGCATCCAGCATAATACCTGAATTTCAAGCTGATGATATTTATTTTTGGACAGGTTTGTCTTCTGTGCTAGTTTGGATACAGAGGAATGAAGTATGGGTCGTATTTGTTCACAACAGAATTAAGGAAATAAAGCGACTGACTTCTATTGAATCTTGGAAGTAACGTACCAGGATCACTGAATCCTGCTGATTTGCCCAGTATAGAGGATGCTCTGCTTCTTATTTAATTAAATCTAGATGGTGGGAAGGTTATAAATGGCTATATTTATCACCAGAAAAATGGCCAAAAGGAAGATTTTAGTGCTGATGAAGAAGAAATAGCTCTTGAGAAAAAAAGAAAGGATTATTTCGTCCTTATTAAATCCTAATGCTAGCAAATAGTTGCTACTAGATTCTCAAGTTATCGTAAGACAATCAGACTGGTAGCGTGGATGTGTCGTTTTAACTGTAAACATCAAAACAAGAAAAACTGTAAACATCAAAACAAGAAAAAGGATGAACTTACTGTATCTGAGTTAAATGAAGCTGAAGAATATCTTGATTCGTTTACAAAATGAGTCAAAATGAGTCCTTTAATGGAATAGAGATAAACGGATTTTAAGTCTTAATCCATTCATTGATTGTGGTATCATCAGAACTAAAACAGCGATGACAAAAGTAGATTAAATTGGCCTCTTGGTAAAATCATACAATTATTTCCAGGTACCGACGGTGAAAGTCGACGAGCCAGAATTAAAGTGCAAAATGGAGAAGTCATAAGATCTGTACAAAATCTTTATCCTTTGGAATTATCGACTGCCGAGGAACTTCCATCGAAATTCAGCGGAAGTCAATCATGTGAAAATATTTCGGTGACATACCTGTAGAAACAAATAGAATAATCCATACCCATTTAAAATCGCCCACGATAACCAAATCAGGAAGGACAATTAAGAGTTCCTCATCGATTGGACTTGTGAGAAAAATGTTTAATTTTTTATTATTTTGCAGTACTCAATCCCGAATTTCATATTGCAAGGTGGGAGGATGAACAATATTTTGACTCTAATATTTTTGTTTATATTTTTTTCTAACTGCAGCTTCTGAGTAATATTGCATGAGCTTCAAGCAGATGTAATCGTTTTCTTACTCTATAGATTTTTGTTTTTCATTATCTGTTTATATTATTATTATCTATGTTTTGTAACAGTTTATGTTTTCAGAAAATGGCAACATACTATGATGTTGTTCTTTTTAGGGAGTTAGTGTAACTTTTGTTTTCCTCATTTAAGAGTATGAATAAAGGAATTATTTAATTATTGTAGAGTCATAAATAACTAAAGAGATATAGATAGTTATTTTCCAAGTAATAAATAGTTCTTGAGGTAACAAATTTAGTGAGAATTTTTGAACACGAGTTGTAGCATGGAGAGTCTCGAGAGTACATGAAGTTCCGAGAACGACCAAGCAGAGTTGGGTGCTTTGCAGGAAGCTGTCTCCACCATGATAGCCTGATAACCTGAAGGTTGTGTTGCTGATTGTTCCAGCGAGTGTTTATAGTAGATCTACAATGACTGTAAAAGTGACTTTGGAGCTGTTTTGACAATACTGGCTAATAAAGTGTGTTTCGATACTTCATCAAGTGTCGTCGTTATTCACTCCAAATCTACGAACCACGTATGAATGTGAAGGAAGAAAATAGCACAACAACTGGTGTCAGAAGAATAAGAAAAACACAACAATATTGAAATGCATGTGAAAACGCTGTCTAGGATATTATAGAAAGTGTCTGAAAAGCTGCAGACATGAAATTGATAGAGAAAGAGATATGGAATAAAGTGACTATGTGCCAAGTTGAGACAAGTCAAGAAAAGCATTGCAAACTCTAAGAAATCTTGAACTGAAAGGTAGAGAATACGATTGAAAGACTGTTGACAAATGGTGTGAAACAAATACAGATACGGCAATTCTTTGTGAACATTTTAAATTTCATCAGGTATGTAATTATAAAAAATAATAATAAATTAATTTCCAAGTTTCATGAATAGTTTAATTTTAGCATTTACTTTTAATTATTAATCATTACATTAATTCTTCTTTACCATCTCACTAAATAAGTTCAAAGTTGATACCCTAATTTGCAATACTGATACCATAATTTGCAATATTGCCATTTATTAAACTCAGGCACTTAATAAACACAAATATGCTTGGAAGCTTTTAATAAACAGCAGGTACTGTACATACAATATATCATTTTCATGCTGACTTTAAACCCCATGATTTTGATCTTTCATTAATGTTTTTAATCTCTTTAAAGCTTAAACATTTTAAACTGGAAAAGATGGAATGATTTTCCCCAAGAGCACAAATTTTGCACATTTGTAAAAGTTGAAAACTGGCCAATAAATGAAATTATTTACTGGGAAGTAAAGTATTTGGAGATGTAATGTAGCTGCAGGGAAACAAAAAAGGTCTTTGTGCCAATAACTGGCTTCACAGTTCCAGAATTTCTTTTCTGACCACTTTGTGCATCATATCCTGTTGGGCTGAAGAACTGACTTCCATCAGATAATGTAATAAATGGTTAGATATGTGTTAAATACAGCAATTAATTGGAACAACTACATGTCATAAGTTCATTGCTGGTTTTGATTGAACACTTGAAAGGTAATAACTAGTAGACCTTAAAAAATCTAGATGGACAAAAGCCTATTTTCCAAGCAAAAGGACAGAACAGACAGAATTTTGCTGAAATGATGATTTTGGAAGGAATCTGCAGGTGAAAAAATGAATATTTTTTTGTTCAAATGCCCCACAGAAGTGCCAAAACTCTAATGGAGATCATAAATGATATATACAAAGGAAGCACAATATATTTGGATTGCAAGCATGCTTATTAGAGTGATGAAAAGGCTGATTTTCAGCATTTTATAGTGAATTATAAACACAACTTTACAGATCCAATATCTAGTGTACATACACAGAAAACCGTGTGACTCTGGGATATAGCCAAATGGCGAAGCAAAAGCCAAAAAAAAAAGGCCTGTGAACACTTAAATTCATATTTGGGAGAATTCATGCAGCACTAATATGCAGAATGTGAGGAAATGTTCAATTTGATTTTACAATAACAGTAATTCCTGAATTATGGCCTCCAAAGGTAAATAAATAAATGTTATTTTCCTCTACATTTATATTTTGGTTTTTCATTTTTCATGACAGTATATGTTTTCTAATTTTTGTCAAATTAATCCTTGATGTTACCAAGCATGTATAAATTAGATAGTGACTACTTTAACAAGAAACTATCTATTTTACTTAAGTATTTACTTAGCTAAATAAGGAATACAATAATAATAATAATAAATGATAATAATGCAATCAAGTATAATAATAATGATGATAATAATACAATAAAATGTAATAAATAAAAATAATGATAATAACACAAAATATACTACTAATACATAAAATATAACTATATTATCATAACAGTAAATATAAAAAGAAGAGAGCTAAAAAATTTTTTATTAGTAAATAAAGAATAGGTTATAAATTTTTAAAATATATATACATATAAATTAAATCAACGTACTGTTATGCTTTTCCCAAAACCTGAAGGAGGTTTGCAGAACGCCAAAGATGACCAGCTTTGCCCAAAAGCAAAGAACAGAAAACACTCTTTAACTCTTTCCATTTGACTGTTTGTTCAAATGATGGAGGAGATATTTCTTCAATTTCTTCAAATGGGTCAACTGATTTCTAGGAAACAATTAGAATCTTAAGGATAAAAATATATAAAATAAATATTATTTATAAAGGCACGGTTAAGTTAAAAACAGAAGCATTCATACAAACCCATTCTTTACTTCCTCTTTCATTAAAACTCTAAATGATGCAAATAAATTACTGTTAGTTTAAGCTTAAAAAATATAATAATTTCTACAGCTGAATGGATGATAAACAAAATACCTACCATGCTTTGTTTAGTAGAATGAACAAACTCAAGAAGATAAGAATTTCCAAATGCATTCAACAAAATCCAGCAAAATGGCAATGCTATGGGCAAAAGAGGTAAAACTACTAATGCTGGACGAAGTAATAAATGCTCTGTCCACATGTTGCTTTCAGTTTCAAGATAAGAAGCTCGAAGACCTCCAATACAGAAAGCTATAAACTAAATAGTATGTTAGTATTAAATTGCAAAAAAATATTCCACAAAGTAACTAAGCAATTACTATGAATTAATAAATCATTATGATAATGGCAATTCTAAAGAACTATAAAAACTTTATTTTAAAAATTAGACTAAATCCTTTTCTATTTAACATAAAATTCTTCTGGTTAAATTTAATCAGAAATCAGAAAAATTAAGACAGCAGATTAATTAAACATTTCAGCTTTTCAAATACAACACACAAGATTAATAGAACATTAAATCTTGAAATCAACAAGCATGAGAAACAAGTGAAAGGAAGCAATCAATATGATAAAATTAAAATGAACATTTGCTTTTCATGTCAACCATGTTGCTGATAATAGAATTTGCTCCATTTGCTTTCAATGATTTAAAATAGTTGTCATTGCTATCTATTTTTTTAAGCTGATATTTCACAAAATTTATTTTGTCCAATTAAAAAGCTTCCAAATCAATCAAATTTTCAGAATTCAGTTCAATGTTATATCTTTCTAGCAAAAACTTTAAAAAAAAAAGAAAAAGATATGTGTAAATCCCTCAAACATTAAAGTAATGCTTTTTATTGCATACAACTGCTGCATGGTCCTTCTAGAAAACAAAACAAACTGTAAATGCTGGGCACTATTAACATTTTGGTTCTTTCTGTTTTTTTTTTTTTTTTTTTTTTTTCTGGCATTTGTTTTTTTGCAATGTGTACAGTTTTTTCTCTTGTAAGGAATTACGATGAACTGTTAAGTCTGGCAACTGATAAAAATGAAAACACAGCATTTTTCTCAGAAATCTGGCATTTTACCCAACAGTAGATAATGCAAAACATTGCATTTTATAAAGTTTTACTTCTTAAATTATAAAATTTTGTGGATTGAAAGGTACATTTTGATTATCTACTAATACCCTTCTGAAAAGACGCCAACTGTTGGTGCCTAAATTTTAGCTAAGCTAAAAGGTGAAAGACAACAGCCATTTTCAAACATAGCAGTGTACTATAAATTACATAAAACAGGAAACAATTAATAAAATTAAAAATCCATGAAACATCTATAATAAAACACTGTGAGGTTCCTTTAATTTTATTAACCAGTTATTTTATATTTTGGATCTGTACTGTCACTTCTCTTTTTTCATTTTCCAATTAGAAATTATGAAATGTGTAATTTATGAAATGTGTAATTATGAAAAAGTGTAAGTTAAATACATATTATTGTTTTCTTGTACTGTAATGATTACAATAAAATTTCCAATTCTCATATTTACTTTAGCAAAAAACTCAGAAAGAATACAGCGAATTATTCAGAACAGATCATTAATTTTTATTACACAAAATAAAAGATGTTAATCAGATAAAATACTTTTCACTTTAAAATCAAAAATTCTGACATAATAATATTCACAAATATCTATCAATTACATGTGAAGTATATGAATTACTTACGGCTGCAGCAGGAATAACGATTCTTTCTAAATAACAAAAAACTACAGCATAATATTCTTTACTAAAAAGTGTAACTGGTCTTTTTAAAGCATTCTGTAGGGCATATCTAAAAAGGAAGTACGAAAAATAGGATTAGAGATTTGCATTAAATAAAAAATTAAGGTTTTTAATATAAACTAATGAAAAAACTCTGAATGCTGTTAAAATACAAATTAATATGTTAAATATTTTATATCAATATCTTTAGAAACAGGAATCTCAAAATATACAACTTTTGTGATAATTCTTAAAACATCAAAACATAAATACAGGGTGTTTCATAGATCATGGGACAAATTTGGAGGGGTGGTGTAGCGTACCAAAACATGCATTTTTTGTATAGGAATATAGGGTCTAGAGTGACAGGTTAAGGCAGGAACGCAAAAAAACAACACGAGAGGAAAATGTGCTAATGTACAAAATCAACGCAAAGTCCTTCTTTGCAGCAATACAGTATTCACAATAAATGTTCAAAAAGGGGAACACTAATAGGAATGAAGCTGTGAATATATTGGCTGGCAATGCAGCAGTAGAGGGCTTTTAATGAGCTACACAAACCACGGTCCGAGGCATCAGAGGATCGTTCGTAACTCTGATGTCGCACGTGATGGGTGAGTTTTCGCACAGGGAAAATGCTGACATGCATCTCATGTATGGTGCTGCTAATGGGAATAGTAGAGCAGTGCTATGGTTGTACCAGGAACGGTTTCCGAACAGGCGTATGGCAAAGCACACAATGTTCGAGAGGTTGCATGTGTGAGGATCTCTGTGTGAAAATGGGTCATTTGAAGCCACCTCTGATACTAGGAGTGGTAGAAGTGGTGCACAACAGCCTCACATTGAAGAATCCATCATGAACATTGCATGAATCACCTCAGACAAGTACAGGAGCTATTGCCGATCGTCTGCAACTGAGTCATTCCCCCGTTCGGAGAGTATTGCATGAAAATGGTTTGCACCTATTCCATTGCAGAGAGTCCAAGCCTTGCAAGAGACAGATTACCCTCTTCGAGTTCATTTCTGTCATTGGTTCTTGCAGCAGTGTGCAGTGCAGGCGGATTTCCCATCGGATGTGTGATTCACGGACGAGGCAACTTTCTCACAGGACAGCATCTTCAATAGCCACAACATGCACGTGTGGGCAACTCATAATTAAACACGGCTCATAATCCACATGCATTCCAAACCCGCTTCTCCGTGAATGTGTGAATGAGTATTGTTAACGACTGCCTCATAGGCCCATACCTCTTACCTGCATGTACAAATGGCTTATGTTATCATATTTTTCTGAAAGAGGGGCTACCGGAATTGCTGCAGGATGTTCCGGCTGTCATTCATGATTGCATGTGGTTCCAGCATGATGGTGGACCAGCCCATAACCACGTGCGGGCCTGCAATTACTTGGATGGGACATTTCCAGGCCTATGGATTGGCCATGATGGACCCGTTCGATGGCTACCCCGTTCGGCAGATTTATCCAGCTTGGATTTTTTTTATGGGGCCATCTGAGGGGCATCATTTACAAGACTCCCATTGACTCCCTGGAGGACCTCGTTGCATGACTATTCATTGCGGCTGCAAGCGTGCGCGAAATGCCTGTTGTTTTTCAAAATGTTCGTCAATCCCTTCTGCAACATTACCAAGTATGTATTACTGCTGGTGGTCACAATTTTGAACATTTATTGTGAATACTGTATTGCTACAAAGAAGCACTTTGCGTTGATTTTGTACATAAGCACATTTTCCTCTTGTGTCTTTTTTTTTTTTTTTTTTTTTTTTTTTTTTTTTTTTTTTTTTTTTTTTTTTTGCGTTCCTGCCTTAACCCGTGACTTTAGACCCTACATTCCTATAAAAAAATGCATGTTTTAGTAGGCTCCACCACCCCTCCAAGTTTGTCCCATGATCTATGAAACACCCTGTATAGACTTGTATGTTCATTCTTCACAGTAAATTTTAATTAAACCTTTAAATTTTTCAACTTTATTTACTTAATGAATGATGAAAAATATTTACAGAAAATGTTTTCAGGAAAGGAAACTGAGCAAATGAAACAAGTTTTACAAAATATAGTTGAATTTAACCACTTAATTTTTTGTTCACACACATACAGCTCAAGCTAAAGCCATATACCTAATAATACACCGAATTTGTGTTCCTAAATCTCGGCTTGATGTACACTGCTCAAAAAAAAAATGGGACAGTGCTATATCTCCCGTTCTACTGGGGCGATTCACGAAATTCAAATTGCGTTCTTCATGCCTCGAAAGCACGACTTAGGATATATATTAGATTTATATATAGCACTATTCTAACATAGGTATTTTGACACAAAATCGGACTTTTTCTGAAATAACATACCAATTTTTTTACATATTTCGATTCTACGACTCAAATTATGCCAGAAATACCAAGTTTTTTTGTAAAAATCATACGAGTAGTTTTTTGAAATATTAGCTCTCAAAATTTTAGCTCCTCGATGTTAATTGAATTTGGTAAATATTTATTTATATCTCTTTTTTTATTAAACTTTTTTGATTTTTTTTCTCTCACATTTCGAAATTTAGGTTCATTCCAAATAAAATTTACCCATTTTTTGTGTTTTTATTTTTTTAAATTTCTATTTTTAAATAATTTTTATAAATTTTTTCGAAAAAAATTTTGAATTATAACCTATATAAACTTTTACCATCATCTTAAAGTAGGTATATTTTTTAAGCATATCTGCAAAAAATTAGACTTTTTTTATTCAAAATTTTCTAAGATATACCAAATTTACATATTTTTTCACGTTTTGAAATTTGGCATCTTTTTTTTTGAGCGATAATAACGCCAAATGTGCTCGATGGATTTTTGTTACACTGTATTGCCACAGCTATTTTTAACCTTAAATTTCAAGTAAAATTTTATGGAGAATTTATTATATGACATTTTTTCCCTCAATGATGCATAATAAATATTTATTAATACTATATGAAAAGCTATTTTTTTAAATAAATTTTTTTAATATTTTTTATTTTTTTTTTTTATTATTTTATTTATTTATTTATTTATTTTTAATAAGAGTAAATTTTTACCTTGACGTTTTTATCGTCTGCTACTTTACTTCGTTTAAATCGAATTGTCTAAAACTGAGAATTTTTTTTGATGTTTATTTGAATTTTATGACATTAACTGCACAATTTATTTCTAAACAAACTGATGCTTTTGAAGTGGCTGAAAGAGCGGCTGGTACTATCATCCATATCTTTAAAGCACAGTATACTTTTATATAGAAACATAAGATTTAGAATAATCATTTTTTATAAAAGTCAAATTATGATATAAATATACAACCCTCTAGAGACTGAATTAATGGAATTTCAATGGTTTATGTAGAAATGATCTGCAGCTACTTAATCGCTGGATAAGTCAGCAGATTCCGTGGACAAGTAAGAATAATTATACAAA